CTGTCTGACGCGTCTGCCTCCGCGACCCGAAAGGAGAAGCGGCGATGGAAGATGAAGATGAAGATGATAGCAACGTGAGTAGTATAAGCCAATCAGATTTTGATTCAATTTCATAGTGTTCATATTTCATGCGGGATATCTCCGTTTATTACGCAATCACGTAAATCCCCGACGTTTCGAGTCACACTTGGCCCTGTTATAAGGTACAGTAAGACGAACAGATCTGCAAGGTAAAATAACTGATGCAATGTAAAATTTTTGTCTCTAAGGGGCTTAATGTGAGGTTAGTGTTGACAACGAATAATAAGCAGCTGGCGTTCAGACATTGCACAGGTAGATTTAACAATTTATACATCGGACAGCATAAAAAAAGAGTTTCATTAAATTTTAAAAGTTTTTTGGCACAGATGCCAATCAATTTTATGGTTATCGACGAAACTGTTGAACAATCGAGTGGTTTTCGCATTTTACTTCGATAAGTATCTGCTTCCTATCTCATCGACTGATTCCCCGATGCATTTCACAAACCATCTTCCAAAGTATATTTTGCGGCTGAAGGATATGGTGACCAAAGCAGACCAGGAGAAAGCTTGTGCCCCTGAGGACGGTGCCGTTTTAGCACGTTACCATGACTGCGAATTAATCGCTCTCTGGGCAAATTGGCGTAAGGTACGTAGTCTACTTTTGCACCTTGGAAGTGCCGTGTTCAAAGCGTAAGTTCATCTGAAGTTTTCAGTCTAGAATGCTAATTCTCTTCTGCAAGGAATCCGTCCCCTTACTATGCTACGATAGGACCCGAAATGGTAAATCATTGATCTACGAAGAGTAGGAACTGCACAGTTTTTTCGAGGAGTCGTGTCAGAGCGTGTGAAATTTACTGCCATGCCATGCGCCGGCTTTATGTTTGAAGTTCATCTGGACCCATCTCATAGCTGACAAAAAATCATCTCAAAATGTAAACAGTAAATTTAAATTGACCTGAAACTTAAATTTGGTTTAAAGTTCAAAGGATGAAAAAGCGGTTGACATATACACGCTGTTTCGCTACCGAAAGAACCCTGATCTTACCCAAAAGCGTTCCACCGAATAGAATTGTCTTAATCGAGTGTTGTCGGAGGCGATCTCGCAAATAGGCCAGGTCCGTGACGGCGGAATCGTTGATCACCGGCGTTTTGTACAGCTCTGGCTGCGTTTTTCGCAAATGTGTAGCGGACGTACGGTTGCAGTCGAGGAAGCGGGACTTGCTCCACTGTTCAGTGTACTCGTCGAGCGGTCGTGGGAGGCCGATGCCCTCGGCTGAAAACGCACGGAAGGTTTCGAAACCCTGGCTGAAGCTAGATTTAGGATTGAGTTCGAAAACTGCACCAAGATGTTACATAGTGAATGCCCTGGCATCCACGTGAGCTGCCGGTGCCGGGTGCAGGTACCAGTAAGAGGTCCGGTTTTCTATGACTGAAACCGCAACCGATATTTGTCCATGCCGAAACACGCTGCCGTTTGGGTAGGATACCACAGTCCAATTTTGGAATTCGAGGAGATGTTCCTGAAATATGGCCATTTCAATGTCTCAGCCTAAGATATAAGTAAACACAGAAGCAAAACGTACCAGCTGAAGCAGCCAAAATTGGTTCTGTTGCAAAATTCCAAAGAGATACTCTGTTTTGCTTTCCAAGTTCAAGCAGTGGTCGAGCCTCGACTTAACGCACAACAGCCAATCGATGTCCAACAGAAGTAACGGGGTGGCGATGCTGTTAGCCAACCGAAGAAATTCGATCACCTGCTCAACGACGAACGAGTCAATGTATTGGTTCAGCGAACATAGAGCTTTCTGCAAGCAATTTTGATCAATTACGGTTTTGCCTATTAATTAGTGAAATGGCAATAACAAACATTATTAACCGTTCAAAAATGATGAAATTAATATGAGTGTCCTCTCCAACACTGATGAGCTGGATTTCACCTGGCGGATGTGATTTTGTTCTCCATTTCTAGATATGCCTATAAGGCATTTCCGTGATTTACTACTTGTTTTCCGCAAGAATCACTCTCTTCGGTAAAGAGGATAGAGAGAATGATGAAAAGATTTCACCTTGGCTATTTTTCAAATAAATATGTAAGGTAGCCCACCATTCTTGGTTTCTAGTGAAACATTCTTCTTAGACTGATTTGCATTAGCAGCATGAAGGAAGGTGCTTCAACTTCGGAATAACAATATTTAATTATACGTTAAGGCTTCAACATCGTAAATTGTTCGTACGCCCGAACATGTCAAATAATGAGTGACTCATCCAAGACCAAATTTCATTGGACCGCATTGCGCAGCCTCCTTGCTCCTAGTTGCTTAAAGGCGACCATTTAATCAGGTTATGGTTCTATGTTATTTGAGAACCTACAGCGCAAGAGTCAAGCCGCATCACTCTCTCCGATAAAGCCACCTCGCGCTAATCATCAATGATGTGGAGCAAGAACTCATTATATGCTACCGCATAAGCATGAGAGCTGGTCGTACGCCTAGGTAAGTCAAATAACAAATAACCCATCCAATATTGCGCATTGCATCAAACCCTTGCTCTCAACTCAGGGCCCATAAGCGAAAGCTTGGACGTTACCACAAACTCGATATGAAAATTAAGACTGGCTTCATCAGCGGTTCCGAACAGTCATTTTTGCCTTCTAGTGTTGCCTACGATTTGTTCTTTTTTTCCAAGACGACTTGCGTTCAACACGACTTCATCCAAATTTTCACTTATAGTCATGAGTCATGGGTCTTGACCGAGAAACCGATCCGAGGTAAAGCGGCTGACCTGGGCTTCCTGAGACGAATCGCTGGGTTCACGGGTCTCGACAAAGTCTGGATCTCAGATATTCGAAAAACCTGTTTTACCGCTGTTTCTCCAGGCTGAATCTCCGACCGACTGAAGATTCCGGGAACGGTCAAGAATGACCTGCTTCTAGTGCCTAAACATACTTTGCTCGAAACTCGAGTCATCTTCCGTAGGAGCTCAAAGACTATTACATGATCACGAACATTGGAGGATGCTGCCTCCGCGTCTTAAAATAATAAGCGACTATCGAAACTGACTGACTAGCGTAACTTGTTCCCGGCATA